TCACAGGGTTTCCTCAGGGTAGTTTAATCCGGCAGAGGGGGTCAGACAGGAAGAATAAAAAAGGGAGATGGAAAATCAGGCCTTCTGTTTAGCTGTGAGCGGACTGACTTTTGTGACAGCATTCCCATGGCACTTACTGATCTCCTCTGGTTTAAATAAATAATAGTATTAGACTTAGATTTAAGAATAAGTTTTTGGCCAAATGGAATGGAATAGTTTTTAAAAAGGTACAAAGGAGGCTGGAGTCTCAGCCTGTTGTAGCCCTTCTTACACTTATAAACACAATTAAAGGTGTAGATTGGTAAAAACAGGCAAAGGAAATTCTAATAATGTTCCAAACTCTGGTTTAATTTGATCCCTAATTTGCCTATTGGTATTTTTCATTTTCACCTGCACAAACAAGAAAGCTTGTTATTAAAGGGAAAAGTTTGGTGATTAAATGAGATCACCAGCTTTCTTGGGTCCTTTGGGAATTGGCAGTCTATTACCAAAATGCAACTGACTCCCTGGAGCACGTACAAATCAGTTTCTTCCTCCACAGCATTAGAAAATTTTGCAGTTTTAATAAGGCCCTTTGTGCTACCATACGAACTATACTTGGAAAAGAAACTTGCCATTAACAAACTTTGCCCTTCATAGCAATACCCTAGATGGACAATTATTTTCATGAGAAGATGGCAAATTTCCATGCTCTCTTGACTGTTTTGGGTGAGAGGACATCAGGTATCTTGTATGGGAGGCTCTAAAGCAACTTGCAGCCTCCACAGGTTGTTGAATGGGAACTCACAGCATCTTCTACTCTTTGAGGTATTGACTAGTGATGGGGGAAGCTGCAGTCCAACATCTGGAGGGCCACATGTTAGTCACCATGCCTTTGAAGGCACAAGTCCCTAATCCCTTTTATTAAGTGGTAGCAACAGTCTGCACAATATCAGTTAACTCACAGGCCTGACATTTGAGTTTGGCATCATTCAGAGGGCAACTCTCAAGGTCCAAAGCCTGGATCTTAAGCCCCCTAGCTCTTTACTAGAAACCCCTAGTCCTTCTTGCCAAGGGCAACCTGCCCTCTCAAGCCTACAAGCTATTAGGAGAACAAGAAGGGTTAACTCCACTCCTGGGAAATGGTACGAACTGAGACCACAGAAGGAGAGGGCATGGACCTGGCAAAGGTGGCAGAGGCAAGCAGGTGGGATCGTTCAGCAAGGGGGTCTCGTGGAGAGCATCGGGTCCACCCTACCACCACTCCCCAAACTGTTAACGTTAAATCATTCAAAGATTTGATACATGAATGTTAAAATGTGTCTAGGAAAAATCAAAAAGTTAATTTGCTACCTAAAACATTAATTTTGAAAGAAAGTCATAATTTGAGAGTATTAAAAATGTTCAACCCTCTGAAATAATCAAAAGACTTTTTACAAGCAGCTATCAGGTCATTCAGGAAATTAGCAAATGGGGTGAACTGTAATAATCTGAAAGGTTAATTTCTGCCTACAGAATCAACATTGCTGGTATGGAACAACTAAAATGGTTGAACCTTACTATGTTAACTAATTAGAGATGGCAAATTAGAGTGCTGTCCTCTGAAGGTGCCGGCCACAGAGACTGGCGAAACGTTAGAAAGAACAACCTTCAGAACACGGCCAAAGAGCCCGAAAAACCCACAACAACCATTAGATCCCGGCCGTGAAAGCCTTCGCGAATACAAATTAGTTTTCAATCAATTCTTCCCAAGCATTGTTACAAAGCTGGATGGAACTGACATGGAGCTTATTGGTCAACAAGGTATTGCATGATCAGTTTGGCTTGGCTAAGTTGCAACTATAGCCAGTACCAAAATACCAGAATGCATCTCATGAATTTGAATCATTGCCTGCTTGCCTGCCTGCCTGCCTGTAGCAATCTAGGGAGAAAATTAAAAGGTTTTAGGTTAAAGAACATCTTAATACCTTCACCCAAGAACATCTCCAAAGAATCCAGTGTGAAGTACTGGCTAGAGTAACAGATTAGGACTTGAGGAGACTTGGCTCCAACTCCCCAGATACACCATGGGAACCTACTGAGTGGAACTAGTAAAACCATTCCTTAAATATATCACTTATCTTGAAAGCTCTATTAGGGTCACTATAGGTCAGTACTGATTTGACGGCACATAATGTAACAAAGAACATCGGCTTTGGCATCACCAGAGTGATGACAGATAATTTGAAGGCTTCTTTTCAGCTTGGGTTTTCTTCTGTTGAAAGGTTCGCGACACTGTGTTTGATCCAGTTACTTGGCCTTGCAGGCTACAAAATGAGAATCAAGGAGGAAACTTGAGGTGCTCATAGCTTCTCAGATATATTGCCCATGCTACATGGTTGACTTGCAGATGATCTTTTTACTATGTAGGGGAGCTTTCTCCAGTGCTGGCTAGAAATGATGGGAGCAGTTGTAGGTCGCCATATCTAGAGGGCATTGTGTCAGGGAGGCATAACAAAAATAGGAATCAGAATCCTGTGGCACGTCTAAGCTGAAGAAATTTAGCTTTAATGTTATTGGAAGACTGCCTTTAAAAAAACATTCTAAACAGACTAACCACACTTAAACATGGCCACTTGTCTGAAAACTGCTCCAATGAATAGGGCCAGCCTAGAAGGTAGCAAGCAGGGCCTGTTTTAAGACTTGTCATTTTTCAGTAGCTGGAAGCCCCTGCAGCACTCTGGCACTTAACTACCTTGCTATCGCTACCTGCGCACTGACTTCTATGAGCAGTGCAAGAGGAATGATTGGTTGGAAGGCAGAGGGAGTCACTTCCCAGTGACTGTGTGCAGATACCTCAGTGTGGAAATGCTACATAGAACTGTCTATTTGGCTATTCAGAAAAGGCTTAATCTGAATATGTGAGCAAGGTACGAGTTTTAGACCTAACCTCTGGCTGTTGAGGTCTCCATGGGGAGAGGGACTGTCTGAAGAGGAAGCCTTTGCTACACATAGAGCCTTTCCACTTTACTGGGGATCTTCAAAAATGCGGGCTCCCAATCACACAAAAAGGTTCCACATGTGGAAACTGTTTCTACCTCACACTATCCCTTGTGTGGACAGTGTGACAGACATGAGGGGAGGGTAAGACCAGCTCCTACTCATACATTCAGATTAATCAGAAGTGGGATTCAGCAGGTTCTCACCTATTCTATAGAACTGCTTCCTAAATGTACTATTGGTTCTTAGAACCGTTTGTTGGATTAATCCTTTTCTGAATGTCTGTATAGGATTTACATTCAGTGTTATTTTTAGGCTCAAAGTTTGTGCAGTCATGGTTGCTTCACAATGAATTCTGAAGTGGGTGGAGGATCATCTTAATATCCCTAGAAAGGGGTTGGACCAAGTAATTTCATTCTGATTGACCTAGGAAACCTTTGGCCCTGCCCACAGGAGGTTTCCTGATTCGCTAGAAGTTCTGCCATTAAAAATAACAGTAATACTCTTTTGGCAGTTAACAGTTAACAAGCTCAGTTAGAGAGTTCAGTTGAGGTATTACAGTTGTGAGAAACCAGGCTATTAGTGGTGCATGAAGCAGTATAGGCAAAAAGTTGAGGGGATAATGATTTAAATAACTTAGAGATACCAAGCATTAGTTCCATTTTTGGACAGTCTGGTAGTCACTCACTTAGATTATCCTATATAAGAAATATTCCTGGATCAAAGTAAGAGGGAAAAGTAAAGGAGTACCAAGACACACTTAAGGACTATGAAGAGAGAGGAAAGTGAACAGAATCCTGCATTCCTGGCAGTGCAAAAATGGCTGTGTCCAGACCCTGGACTCATTTCCATTTATAGCCCTCCTTGAGTGGCTTAAATGGAGACACAGACTGGAGAAGCTATGGATAGTTTCAGGGTTAAAAACTTGCAAAGCTGAAGAGAAATAGATTGAAATTATGATATACCTAATGTGGAATTAGGCAGATAGTATCCTTCTTTCACTCAGGCACAGGGCAAAAAAAAATTCTAAGTCCAAGACAGTGATGGAACAGTTTGAAAAGGTTTTCCATTCTGAAGGATGTTGCAGTTCATGAGCAGGCACAGTGTAATTCATGGGCACAAAATGAAAATGAAGGTGTTGAGGATTTAATTACCTCTCCTACACCATATAGGTGAATGCTGTGAATTGTGGTGCCTTTCATGATGAGATGATCCATGACAGAATTGTTAGGAGGTTCAGGGGTCTTGAGGTATCTGAAAATCTACAGTCAATGAGTGGCTCACTTGGGAAAAAAGTAGTCACCTTGTTTAGACAACATGAGATATAAGAAAAAAATGTTTGATTTTCTCCAAGCGCAGTTGGTGGGAACATGGGAGAGGGCCTTGTCTGTTATAGTTCCCAGATTCTGGAACTCCCTCCCATGGGAAGCCAGGCTGGCCCCATCATTGCTGTCCCTCTGCAATCAGGCAAAGACCTTTAGTCTCAAGCAAGCTTTTCTTTAATGACTGGTGGTTTGAGAGGGTTTTTTAATGGATGGTTGTGTTCTGTTCTTTTAAAATGTAGGTTAGTATTGATTTTATTTGTTGTTTTTAATATAATACCTGTTGAATTCTTTTTAAATATTTGTATACTTACTGTTTTAGCTTTTAAGTATTGTCTTTTTAATTATGTAAGCCACCTTGGGTCCTTTTAAAGGAGGAAGGTGGGAGAGAGAGAGAGAGGAGAGAGATGGATGGATGGATGGATGGATGGATGGATGGATGGATGGATGGATGGATGGATGGATGGATGGATGGATGGATGGATGGATGGATGGATGGATGGCAGTAACAGCAACAGCTTTATCCCTCAAGTCAGAGCCACAAGAACTTTAAGATGCCATAGCAGTAGCAGCAACAGCTTTATCCCTCAAGTCAGAGCCACAACTACGAAGAATGACAAGAACTTTAAGATGCCAACATTCAGAAAGGCACAAAAATCCCCCCACCTCCTAGTTTATAAGTGTGAAGGTATAGAGGATAGAAGTGTGCCGTCTGCAGAAATGAAAGTGGAAAGCAATGATGGAAAGAAGGATCAACCACGTAGCAGTGAAAGTGGAGAAGAAAAGGGAAAGGAGTTGACAGCGGAAGAGGGGGAGGGGAAGTTAGAGGTATGCTTAGCTGAAGGGGAGTGGGAGGAGTCAAAGGTGACAGTTGAGGAGGAGTATAAAGACAAGGAGGGGGTGGTGTGGTTCAGTTCGGTAGTAGAGGCGTATGAGAGGAAGAAGCAGGAGGAAAGACGAAGGGCTTTTGAAAGAGTTCGCACCCAAGGGCTTATCAGAGATTTCCCAAATTTGAAAGTGGGCGGCCTTTTGCCCGATCCTCCAGCAATTAAAGAGACTTCTCCATATGTGAAAGAGTGGAACGTGATCGTGGCGTCAAGAGAGGAGGAATTGCGAAGAGAGCGTGAGTGGAAGACCAAGCCGTTTGATGAGGGTCCTGACGAGAGGGGGTGGATTAGACATTGATGTTGTGGGACAATCTGTGCAATCAGGAGCCTCCCACCCCCTCGTCAGGAGCCCAAGGGGCTTCATGGGGTCCCGCGCCGTTGACACCTTGGGACTTTAACCACAGTTTAAACAATGTTGATTCGGGCTTGTTGCCCAGTTTGAAACCGTTTGAATCGTTCAAGGATGTGCTGGAGGGAGTTGGAGAAAATAAAGTTTCTACTGTTAAAGTTATAAAGACTCAGCCTTTAATATTTCCCGCCGAAATGGAGGGGCCGCCTGAGGGAAG